TTTTTTTTTATTTCTCGTCCAACAGCAGAGCTGGAGAGAACTTGTTCCTAATCTCAGCAGTACATGGTGGGATTTGGTTAGAAATTGACGGAGCCTTCTGGTAAACTGCTGTTCACAAGTTTGTAGAAACGCAGATCATTTACAAGGCGTTGGACACTCTGCATAAACGATGGCAAGTCCTGAAATGAAACAAGAAACACTGTATGTAACGGACAAAAGTTGTAATTAGAATGTTACATGTTCTGTAAATAATTATCTAACAAAAAAGCGCTGTAACTGTAGTTTATACGATATTTTCCCCCTACGCTTTTACACAATATCCCATATCTTTCTTCTGTGAGTGACAATATATTAGCAAAGTATGCAAGTCAGATGGTATAGATGTAAGTCTAGATATTTGCTGTTTAAATCTGGATTTCCTCAATCTTTACCTGATCAAGCCTGAAATTTTGGCCCAGTATTGTTTTCTGGTTAGCATCCAGGCCATCATAATCACCAACGAACCGTGGTAAAAATTCTGAATAAAATTTCCCAAAGTCTACAGATGCCATGTTGTATATGGTCATGACGATTTCCTCTTGGAGAAGGTCATGTGACCTGTGGACTAGAACTTGGAGAAGCACACTTGTAAACTGGAACAACATCACATCCTTGAAGATCGGCTGCAACATACACATAAACAATATATATATGATATTAATAGTCTATTGTATGTAGGTATGTGGGACAAGGATATTTTACCCGAGGGTGTAGAATTGGGGTCAGAACCGAGACTTTGCCAAGGTTCTGACACCAAATTCTGCACCTGTGGGTAGAATATCCATATCCCAAAAACCTACATAATGATTGACTCTTTATCTCCTTCCTCTTAACCGAAATTTTGGAGAAATAAGACTAAGACAATGAAACCCTAAAAATAGAAAAATTCCTAGATAACATATATATACACAAATCAAGGCCATATTTAGAAAGAGCAACAAAAATATGGTATACTGTAGGTATACTAGAATTATTATGTTCTTGAGATGTTGTTGCTTGCTGATGGCAAGATTACCTGTCAGCCAAACAATAGTTTGATATGTTTTCATAATGATGTGATGATAGTGATGTCATAATAACATCCCGTCATCTGATTGTGAGGTCATCATAGTACAGGTCACTGGATGCACACTTGTGGGATATATGTATCAATAACCCAGGATATATGTATCAATAACCCCCCAGGATATATGTATCAATACCCCAGGATATATGTATCAAAAACCCAGGATACATGTATCCCACAAGAGACACAGGTATCTTTTTCATACATAAAGGTTGTACAAAGACAATATACAACATACACAAAATACAGTCATTTAATGCCTTCCCAAGGTGTAGTAAAACAATAATGACCGGAGATATATGCTGATAGTTGACCATGTGTAATATTGCACAAGGCTATTGTAATTTAAGCATGTCACCCCTAGTATTTTAAACCTCTTAGAATAATTTCCTTGGGATAACATAGGGAGCTATACAAATTTCCATTTTTAAAATAAATTTGAGCAGCAATCTTCAAAATTAAGTATTTCTCCGACACTTTTATTCAAAGTGAAATTCTTTGGAATGATATATGGTAAGCAAAACTCACAAATATATGTAACAATGGGAGTATGATAAACCAACCTTCTGGTACAGCCTCCACTTTGAGTTGAGTTGCTGCAGAGAGTTGAGGTTCTGTCTAAACACTTCTATATCAGACTGCAGAAAGGACTGTCCGTACGACTGAAATCCATGACAAAATACAAATAAAGAATAATTGTATCACAACCAATAATCCACTTAGATTTTATAATTTGATCATGTTTTCACTGTTTTATTTTATGATCAATAATCCACACATGTATTTAACATCAGTGACATTAAAAACTTTTTTACCATTGACATATGTACAGCAATCAACAAAATATTTAAACAAGAGGCCCAGAGGGCCTGTATCGCTCACCTGGAT